GCCCATTTTTTTATTTGGGTTTTTTTTTTCCCCTTTCCCCCCCCCCCCCCCTGCTATCAGAGCAAACCGTCACGACCCACCTTTGGGTTGCAACACATCAGTTAAGAACCACTGATCTACTATATTTCTTTTTTATCCTTCCATGCACACTATTCTTGTTTCAGTGCGTTCTTTAATAGGTATTCATGAGCACTGAGATTAGCCCAGACAAGCAATGCTTGCAGATTCAGAGCTATTATTCAAGTGTTATTCAAATAATTATTCACCCCAAAGAACAGTCACAAATGAGATCCATTTCCTCTATTACAACTTCCAAACCGCAATCTTAAAGGGATAGTTCACCCAAAAATGAAAAAAAAATATGTTTATCTGCTTACCCCCAGGGCATCCAAGATGTAGGTGACTTTGTTTCTTCAGTAGAACATAAACGAAGATTTTTAACTCAAACCATTGCAGTCTGTCAGTCATATAATGGAAGTGAATGGGAGTCACGGCTTTGAGAGTCAAAAAAACATACACAAACAAAACCAAATTAAACCCTGAGGCTGACTGCAATGTCTGAACTGTCCTGCGGGCGTTCGCGTCATCTTCTTCTTCATGCTTTACGGCAGATCGCAGACTTATAAGTGCATTACCACCACCTTTCTCTCAAATGGACCATTGACACTCTATCTACAATCTCAATTAGGAGTGTCAATGGTCCATTTTCATTTAATCTTTTTAATCTATCAATTAAACTTAAGTTGAACTCAACTACAGATATGTCCAATGGGTTTACAGATTTGTCGGGTGTGTAACCATAGTAAGTTAAGATAGAAATTTTGGTTCTAGTTTTCATTGCTCTCCTTTTGTTGATTTTATTATCTTAAATTAACCTTACTTTATTACACTGCAGGTGCTATTTTTGGATACATAATAAAAGGACTAGGTTTCCTGTGGGAATGTAATACTTAAGTAATGAGATGTACATCTAATGGGACAATTAACTTGCACAGAGAAGATTAAAATGCAAGGCATTGCAATGCAATTTTGTTTTAACGTGAACAGGTATCGCAACTGTGCAACTGAGCTGTTCAGCTTTTGGAGCCATCCCTTGTTTTAAGAATAATGGATTTCATTTCTGAGCAAAATAGAGTCTGTGGTTAATATTGCTGAGACTTTCCTGTTTTGTTTTACAACATTGCACACAAATGTGAATTTTGAAACAGTTGTGCAATTTAAAATCACAAGTTGATGACATTAACTATGGACTACAACTAACACAAGGACTAGAATCTGTGTGCTTAAAAATATGAAAATCTCTTCAGTTAACGTAAGCCACAGACCGTATTTTATTCTGAAATCAACAACCGCTCCTCTAAAAACCCATTAAAAAAATTCCTGAGGGATCCAAGGGTGAATTAGCTTTCCAGTTTGGCCAACAAATTGACAGCTATTTTATTTACAGTCTACTTCACTGCACCGGGGATAAAGCTAATGCAAAAACATAGACTAACAGCCGACAGGTACAGGCTGAATTTGCTACAGACTTCATCTTTCATATTCACAGCTGCAGTGTTGTTTTTTTAATATTTAAATGAGCCAGATGTTAGTTTGTGGTTGATTATATTTGATAAGTAATGGACATGGGCATACCAAGCCAGTTTTTACATCCAACATATGTTTTTGTATTTGTCTAAAAGATTAATTGTCGAATGTCCAAATTTAAGCATTAAAAGACTGACGTTTTAAAATGATTTGGCCCTATTGCTCATACAGCATAATGTCAGTCTTGTGACACTTATAGTATGCAGCACGGCTCTCTCAGCATATTCTGAATTGTATTGTATTGGCGGGAGTCCAGACGCAGTCCAGGGTGCATTTCTGTCCAGCATATATTTCTCATTCTACATACAAATAAAATACAGGGAGAGCAAATGACTAAACAGGAATCAGTGAAGTGTTGCAATGAATGCGTTCGGGAATGAGAAAATGTGTCCTGTTAGTGGTCAGCACATCGATCTGTCCCCTGTAGCAGCATTATCCACAATGCAGATTTTATTCTCAAAGCAATGGATTGCCACGTACTGTACCAGTAAATTCCACTCATATTTAGAAATCACTTGTTCTGAGCTTGTTGTATTATTGATGTGATATGAATTTAATGTTTGGGTATTTTATTAATGAATGTATTTTGATTATTTCCTGATTGTTATGTAACAGGAAAGGCTCACGGGGCTGATGATTTCCTGCCCGTGCTGATGTACGTCTTGGCTCGCTGTAACATCAGCGCTCTGCTGCTGGATGTGGAGTACATGATGGAGCTAATGGATCCAGCACTGCAGCTTGGAGAGGGTGAGGACACACACACACACACACACACACACACACACCCAAGCCATATAGTGAACGTACAAGAACCCATAGTCACTGTGATCATGTAAATAATGGATAGATTGCTTATTGGTAATCATGAACATTTCTACTACCTCTCAAAAGATGCATTGTATTAACAAGCATTATGTGGTGGATATGACGAGGAGGAAATAACATTTTAAGATTTTTGGAATAAAATGCCTGACTCATTTATTTCCTAAGGATAATTTGACATAGTACTTAATGTAAAAAAATGATTTTTACAAAGTTGTAAATAAAACAAAGATTACTGAAGTACGTTTTACAATAATTTCAGTCTTTCTACTTCAAAAATTTGTTTAATTCAATGTATTGCTTGCGGTTTCTTTATAATTACGATAATTGAGTGAAAATTGTTTCTACATAATTTTTTTAGTGCAAATGCATAAAATGAAAATATTTTGCACTTTTTCCATAATATAACTTACAACTTGATTGGAAATAATTATAATATTTTAAACAAGGGTGATATTTACTTAGCTTATCGTCTTATATGTTTGACTCTTTGTTTAGATTGTCACAGCTTGTATAATGTAGCAATAATTTTATGAGAGATTTTCATATTTTAAGATTAAAAGTCTGGGTCTAGGATGAAAGTAAAACATTAAAATCAATAAATAATCAATAAAACAATAAATTTGTTAGTTTCAATAAAGCAAAAAGTGTCTGAAGACACCAATAAATACATATTTTACAATGTTTATCATTTTAGTCACAAAGCAACACTGAACATCAGCTAGAAATAGGCAAAGTTACTGTTATAACCATTACAATACATATCTATATTCTTCTAGGTTCGTACTATCTCACCACCACTTATGGAGCTCTGGAGCATATCAAAAATTTTGATAAACAAGCTGTGAACAGACAGCTGAGTTTGGAGATCCAAGACTCCATCCATCGATGGGAGCGCCGCCGCACCCTAAACAAAGCCAGAGCGTCACGCTCCTCTGTACAGGTATTATGACTGCCATAATGTCTTAGAAAAGCATTGGCCAGTCAACTGTGATTTTTTTTTCTTTATGTTGTTCTACCTTCCTGTCAGGACTTCATTAACGTGTCCTTCCTGGAGGCTGGATCCAACACCAAGACCTTGGGATTGCGTCCCAACACTACCGCTCAGGACCTGTGCAATCAGTGCGCAGAGAAGTTCGAGGTGCTGGATCCTGAGTCTTATTGCCTAAGCATGCTGGTGGACGGCCATTACAAGCCTTTGGCTCCCGAGGATTTTCCTCTCACCATCAAATCCACTTTGCACCACAGTGAGCCATGCAAGGAATATTATTTTGTCTACCGCCACGGTCGCTGGCCAGAACAAGAGTCTGTGGATCAGACGCCATCTGCACCAGCTCCTGAAGAGAGTTTGATATGAACTAATGCGTTTGTATGTGTGTCAGTGATAGGTGGGTCTTTAGCAGAGGGTTTGAGCTGCTTGAATGGACAACTTTAATTTACGAAAGAATGTAAGTGATGCACAAGAATGTAAGCTGACATTATGATGCCTAACCACATAGCAGAATGTGCTATTTGCCCAGGGAAATTAAACGAATACAAAAACTGGCTTACAAGCTGGCTGGCATTTGCTTTAAAACATGAGCTGGAAAGGACCAGGACTGGAATCCGAAATCTGTTTTGAAAAGATCTAATATTTTTTCTCCTAGAAAAGCCTCACATAAAGAGCCTGCATTATTAAAAATAAAAATAAATAATTTTTTGAAACTCAAGAATATTTGCACACACACACACACAACAGATATATCTTTCACCTTAGTTAGCCTTTACTTGAGCAGATCTGTTGTTCCCAAGCGTTATACAGTCCTTGAAAGTTTAATGATTTACAAATGAAACTTCATCTTTCCAATATGGAAATCTTTTCACATCTCAGGGCTCAGCAGATTGTGACTCATACCCTGTTTCGGTGCTTATTTCTTCATTTATACGTTTCTTTAAGCAATGCATCTTTACAAACCTTGAACTGGTTATGCACCTGCATTGCTCTTCAATCATATACTGCCATACAGATATGCTCTCTGTGTTATATTTTATTCATATTTGATTCACGGTTGCTGCTTTTTATATCACAACATATACAATAGTTTAGGCATAAGCTCTGTTTTTTTTAAGCAGCATGAATGCATATGTATCACACACATTGTGAGACTGTTCCAGTGAGCACAACACTTGTCAAACCAAAGATTGGTGTTATATTAAAAATATATTCTGGTAATAAATACATTTTACATTATATATGGTGTGTGTTCATATGGAAATGGCAACTTTAATATGTTAGTTCCCTAAAAAATACCACTTCAGATTCCCATAAAACACTTCCATCTCATCATTTGCGTTATATATAATGTAATCTATATATACAATGAGTAACTTACAGCAATAGGCTAAGTCAAAAGAGTCATGTGATTATTGGGTGTTCCTAACTAAACGAATCAAAGCAACACCAATAAGATAAAAGATGTCAGTGATCAATAAAATGGTAATCAGATTATTTATAACAGGCACTCATATAATCACTAATATAAAATTAAGTTCAAATGAAATTTAAGTGTGGTAACAGTCGGACAGTTTTCAGCTATTTTACAAAATGGTTCATCAGACCAGATTATGGAGCTGAAACTGTTGTATAAGAGTGAATTTAAGGGTCTTTACAACTACAGTAACTCTTCAAACTGCTACCCTGAAAATCTAAATGTGATTCAGAACAACACTGCCCACGGACAGTTATTTAAAGAAACCTCATATTAGTTAGTACAAGAGATTTAACAATAGCATCCATCTTGTTTGTGCATGAACAAAAATTAGAGGGGGTGTTTTACCTGTCAGATTTAAGAGAGAACCAAAGCTTTAGCTCCAGACTGACACGTGTGGGAAGGATATCTGTGCTTTTATGGAATTCTGGGTGTTGGAGCCTCTCTGGAGGCAGATAGGCTCAGCTCTGTTTATTGCATATCAATGATAGAGAAATACAGCAGGGTAAAAATGAGACTGTAATACACAAGATGATTGCAGAGGTGTATGATGTCATGCTGTTCTTCTTCGATGTGACAGTTTCATTAATGCATCCCTGAAATCCCCGATTACAGTGTCATTCCATGAAAATCACTGAGCGGTTTGTGTCTGATGGTGCACTAAACACAAAAATCTGCTATTTTAGAAGCTTAAACCTGGCAATTCAAATTTAATTAGAAACCAGCTCTGTTAAAATATTATGTAATGCATTAATGGTGATTTTAAAAAAATTTGAAAGCAAAGTCTATGCATTTTCTACATAGCATATAGACTTTCTTCTTAAACTTTTCTATTATGTTTTTCCCCCCAGTCACACTAGATTAATCTCCAACAGAGAAGTGTCTTTTAAATGATATAAGAGGAAGTGACATCATGTGAGTTCTCAGGGGGAATTCCATTCGAAAGTGAGCAAGTGAACACTAGCTGTAAGGCATTATTTCCTCATATGGCTGTTTAGTACAGCCTACACAAAATTGAATCTGAATGTTGTCTTAACATAACACCAAAATTCATATTTATATCAGTTAAGATTACTGTGCAAATAGTGTTTGCATAAACATTGCATCTTTTAATTCAAATTTATTATATTATAATTTCGTGTATGGTTTAAATGTTTAAATCCCACACAGCATCTCAAATAAATTACACCAATTTCATCAATGAATCCTACAAATGCACCCAGGATCACATGATCATAAATGGCAAATTGCTTCCCTGAAGTGACCATAACACGTCCCAGCTGATTACCTTTTAATGGGCGCTTCATGAAAGGGATTTATTTGCATAACATCACACCATATACATAATAGACAGTTTTAGACCTTTAGAAAGAACTATAGACCGGAAATTAATTTTGTCTCAAAGGGTCAAGGTTTGGCTGGATATCATGGCCGCCATTAGCCTTATCTTGTAGATCTCGTACATAATCTTGCCGTAAAAAAAGCATCTTTCTGTGTTGGCTCTTGAATGCTAATGATAGGAAGGCTAATGTTATCACAACCTGAGAAAAACTGGAGCCTTTTTTAATGTTCCACTGCCACGTTCCCCTCACAGATGTTCAGATATTCATTTATATTCAGAACATATTCATTTTCATAGTCTTAGCTTGAGATAGCAGTGACTTTTAAGTGCTCATTTTTCACTCCTAACGACATTTCTGGTCTCTGACATATTGTTTAAATCTCAAAGCAGTTTACTTTAAGAATCACCTCTCCGAAAAATGTCTCTCCAGAAGATCAACAGATGATCTTTAAGTAAAGTTTGAGATATTTCACAGTTTGTGAGCACAAATCCCGAGGTTTAGATGAGGATATGAAAGACCAGGAGGTGAGGAAAAAAAGAGAGAAGAGAGAGTGCTAGCTTGGGGAAAAAAAACAAAAAAAAATCACTTATGACTCACAGTCGCGGTTAACAGTGGTAAAACTTGCAGATCTATGGATTACAACCAAAGTTGAGTGAAAAGTTTACCAAGCGCTTCAGATCATCTCCTCAGCCTCTCGCCGCTGAATCCCTCGACCTCGTCTGCCTCACGCCCTGATTCTTTCCTTCGACGCTTTCATTCTTGTCCCTCCACTCATGTCCTCTATAATGACTGTCAGGACCTGCTCGTCTGAACCTTGCACTCACAACCACTGCCCATTATTTTAAATGAGACCTCGCTAAAGTCCGCTTCGGTAACAAGCCTTCCTGTGCTGAATGAAAATGATTTTTTTCGTTCTCCGGATGTCGCCTATAGATTGAATGAGTGCGTAATTAATGTTTATATTACATAACAATGAAATATATAGGCTAGCTAGTAAACACACACATTTCCATTAGAAAACAAGGTGTTCCTTATGTGTGAAATTTTTTTTTATCTCACATGAGGGTTTTAACAGTTGTCAGATTGTGTGGAGTGTTTCTGAAGCAAAAGCCTACCTGTGGTTGCGTAAAATGCGACAAATTGTCTTGTGGGGGTTTCAGCGTGTTTGACAGGGCCTTTCAAATTTAATGAGAGTGACGTCTTGCTTGGCCTAGAATCCAAACGTGTGCGTAGGCTGCTTGAGGACGGCAAACACGTCACTTCAAATTCGGTTGAGGATCCTCATTACCGACCCTTATCTTGTAACTCATGATCCTATAGGTTACGCCCAGCGACAGGTAGGTCACGCGCTTGAGTCAAGGACATTATAGGCTACACCATAGTACGGAAAAGCTGGAACATGTAGTTTTGATCATGATTTTGTGATCATGTGGCACTTTCCAGATTTATCTTTTTTCCTTTTTTGAGACATCATTAGGTGCACTGACGTCCAAACAGCCGTCTTTTCTTCTCTGATGCTTTCCTCTATTTTAAGGCTCCATCCAAACAGGACGGTCAGGGGTGTGGCCTTCTCTGTTTCAGCTCTGTTTCCGTTTCAAGAGTGACACATGCCCTTTTATCTTTTCTGTTTCTCCCTAAAACTTCTGACAAAAAGAGAGGTATATATAATCCCACACAAGCAAAGCCTGTATATCTTCACACTGGCACCTGACAATGCACAACAGAGTTTGGGGTAGAGCTACAATCTGAGAAGTTGATAAAGCAATACATACGAAGAGGTACCATAGGCAACTTCTCAACAATTAAATACCTACCTTGAGAGATAGACAGAAATATTAGACAATCACGAACCTCTTTGAGACATTGCATGGAAGATTTGCAAACTAGCTTGGAGTCACACAAGACTGATTGGATTTTTGACTCCAGACAAAGAACTTCACAGCAACACACAGCCAAGAGGAAGAGCTTCTCCACAAAGGTGCCATAAATTTTAATATTAATTTGACTATAATTGTAAATTATAATATATTGAAATAAAATGAATGCATAAATGCATATTAAAATATTGGTTATTATTAAACAATGTATGCTATATTTAATAATAATATTTTACTATTAACTAATTCTAAAATGTAATGTTCTAAAATAATTTAAATATATTTGCATTTATATTGATTTTTACAAAAATTGGTTACAGAGACGTTTATAATTTAAGGTTTTTCTCTAGGATGCTTTTGGGCATTTTAAAAGGACTAGATTATTTAAAAATACTATTTATATTTATTTATTCATTAAAATGTTGTAGTTTTAAATGTTTTTGAAATATAATAGAGAACAGATAAAGCAGAACTGACATTAACATTTCATGATAAATCAGCTGAACTGTCTTGTATTTTAAAAATATAAAAAGACAGTTATTAATATGTACCTTTTCAATCTGTTCTAAAATACTGCTGTATAATGTAAGTAAGTGAAAGGGTGTGAATAATTTATATAGGTGTTTGAAATATACTTCTGATTGGCTGTACGAGTTTAATTTCAAAGTGGCCTGGACTCAGAACGGTCTTCTAGCAATAGTCAGCATTCCTCATATTTCTCATATCTAAGTATATTACATTCAATATACATTTTGGATGTTGCGCATGTATCTTCTCTACTTCTCACAATGGTACAGAAATATTTGACTACTATTATGTCTTGGTCAACATATTCATCTGTAGATGGTGGCTTTACCCTTGCTTCTTCGTCCTGCCCTATTGTTCTTAGTCCTGATGAGTGTGACACTGACGACATCTGCATTTCCCCAGCCTCAACTTCGACATCTGCAAAGGTATAACTGCTCATATTATTATTGATTTTGTTGTTATTCCTCATATTGAACAGCTATGTATCCCTTTGGTGAAAACTCACCAAACTTTGAATTCATGACGAGTCTGTAGTTAATTGCATTCTGTGTAATTATGGGATGGATGAGATGTGTGGTTACTTAGCAACTAGTTGTTAAATTTGCAATATTCAAAACATAAAACTCCATTTGAGCTATAGACAAAATTTTACATGGAAGTCTCTTTTTTTTTTCTCACAGAGAACAAATTTGCCTTAAGTACCAGAGGTTCTGCTATGGAAACCTTAAAATATATATATATATATTTAATTTCTTGTTCATTAAAAGGATTTTTGTAGATATGATTTATAAGTTGGCAGCATTTAATAGATTATAGCAGGGGTGTCCAAACTCGGTCCTGGAGGGCCACTGTCCTGCAGAGTTTAGCTCCAACCCCAATTAAACAATTAAACTCTGCAGGACAGTGGCCCTCCAGGGCCGAGTTTGGACACCCCTGTATTTTAGGGTTCTATGAATAAAATTGCCAGACAGTTAATTCAACTCCAATTATGGGTGTAAAAATATATTTTT